AAAAAAATGATTCTGAAATTTAAATAATGTACAATCCTTAAGAGGAAATCAGTGTTATTGAACTCCAGGAATGATACAAATTATAATTTAACATTTCCAGTGTAACAGGTATTAAAGCTGATTGTTTTTCTAGAAACAATGTAAGTGATATTTTAAGGTGTGTTCTAAATCACCCCATATCTATTCACATAAAAAGACAATGATACAGATAAGAATACTACAACTGGGTAAAGGACATGCAACTTGGTTGGAGTATAAATTGAACAAGTGGGTTGTGATAGTAGCTTTGGAGAGTTCTCTGTAGAGAGAAGCCCATTCCCTGCCCCACCATGGGTATAGAGGTAAACCTGCATCTCATCTGAGTGCTTGTTTTTTATTGATGTTTCTGTGTAGGGACTTTTATTTGGATCTGCCTACCAGAAGGATAGTGGTTCAAACCCACCAGCCACTCTGTGGAAGGAAGACTGGGCAATCTAGTTCCATAAAAATTTACTGCCTCAGAAACCCAAAGGGGGTCACTATGAGTCACAATTAACTCTATGGCAGTGAGTTTTTTTTTTTTTTTTTCCCTTAACTCTGTCATTTGACTGACATAACACTCCCACTTTTTAAAGTATGAGGTCATAACAAAATGCCCCAGTCAAATTTTAACTACCTTAAAGTTTATGTTTGTATCTGTATATGTATGTATCTATGTATGTGTATGTGCCCTGGCATATGTGTGGATACATGCATGCTGGAAGGGTACCTCCAGGGTGCTATATACTGACAGACGGGTGTATGATCTTTCACATAGGTGAACACAGAGGTCTGAGATCAGAAAATTCTCGGTGGAAGGAGAGACCAGCTGACTTCATGGTATCAATGTAGGATTGCTCAGCGAGGCAGGGTCAGCTACAGATTTCCAAGAGATCATTTTCTTGGGTTATCCTAAAAATTCTCTTATTGGCAGAACAACTTTGATTTTGTAAGTTTCCAGAACAGTATGACTAGCTCATGTTGATCAAATTAATCTGGTGCTAGAATAAAATCTAGGAAAGAAATTTGGTGGGTACACACACAATCATACTGTCATTAGTGAAAATACTTCTTTCTGGAGAAAAATGTCTAAAGGAAGTTAGATAACCAATTGAAAATGGTCCAATGTGCATAGAGTTAAAGATCCTTCTAGCTTGTTTGAAATGGTAATGAGCTTTAAGTTATCATAGTCTAATACAGCCATTTCACAATATGAAGTGTGATTGTGTAATCAGTCAATATATACATATATATTTATTGTTTCCTGATAGAAATATTTTAACTTTCCATGTAACAAAAATTAAGATATTAAAGAGGTATAAATTAAATTCAGCATATTTTGTCTTCCAACTGAAGTCATAATTTGCTACACCATAACTTTTTCATGGCATTTTTAACTTCTGCATTTCTCAATGTATAGATCAGAGGGTTAAGAAAGGGTGTCCCATTTGAGTAGAACACAGCCACCATCTTGTCCACCTGAAATGTGGTTTGTGGGCGTGTGTACATGAATATGCATGGACCAAAAAATATAATAACAACAATAAAATGGGAGGTGCAGGTGGAAAGAGCTTTCCTCTTTCCTTCTGCACTGTAGTTTCTCAGAGAGTATAGAATGACAACATAGGAAATAAGCAAGATTATGAAACTCACCATGCTTACAGCCCCACTGTTGGACACAACTAACAAATTTATTACATAAGTGTCCATGCAGGCAAGTTTCAACAAGGGCTGCAAGTCACAGAAAAAGTGATCAATCACATTGGGACCACAGAAAGGCAATTTCAAAGCCAGGAATATCTGTGCTAAAGAATGGATACCAGATCCCACCCAGGCCAGAATCACCAGCACAACACAAACACGCCGGCTCATGATGGTTGTGTATCGCAGGGGCTTACAAATGGCCACGTAGCGATCAAAAGCCATGAGGATGAGGACAAAGATCTCCATGCCCCCAAAGAAATGGAAGGCAAAGACTTGAGTCATGCACTCACTGTAGGAAATAGTCTTCTTCTGAGACAGAGCATCAACAATGAGTCTGGGGGCTGTAGTGGTACAAAAGCAGGCATCAGTAAAGGACAGGTAGAATAAAAAGAAATACATGGGACTCCCAAGGTTCACACTTGTCTTAATAGTCACCACAATGAGAAGGTTCCCCAGCAGAGTCAAAAGATAAAAAATCAAGAATATCCCAAATACTACTTTCTGCATTTCAGCATCCTGCGTCAACCCAAACAGAATGAATTCAGTCACACTGCTATTCATCACCATCTCAATAGCTGTATATAGGATGCAGTTGACAGAGGTTTAATCTGCATAGAGGGAAAAAAATGACATTTGCGAAGGTCATTAGGCTAAACTCTGAATTCATAGTTTCTGCTCCATGTTCTGTTACCTCACTGCCTTTGTTGTGCAACAAAATTCTCCAAGAATCTTTGTAAAATATATCCTTCACTACATTTGATTCCTAAAAAGATTGAGAACTGTAGAAGTTGTTATTTCATTTCACAAATGACTTAATGGCTTTAAAATTTGGTCTCTAATGAAGAATAGAGTGCCAATGTCAGCCCTACCAATTCTGGGCACTCATAACAATTTAAGGGTTTGCACTCACGCATACACATGCATACACCTTTCATGTGTTATGCATCTTCTTGGTGTGCTTTGAAATCTGAAAAACACTATTCCAATACAGTTAAGCATCAATATCATTGGAGAATGCTCTCTGAAGAACACATTCTCAGTGCCATTAACTCAGAATTAATTTTTGTGTCTATAATGCCTGGAACTTTAGGATCTTGCGTGGAATATGCTTATCAAACAATCTATTTTAATAATTTATTACCTATTCTGCTACTGGTCAGCTTCACTGATATTCCTGAGGTAACAGGTATCTGGATAATGCTTGTCTTATCTAGCTAGTGCTGCTGTAAAGAAATACCACAAGTGGATGGTTTTAACAAAAAGAAATTTATTTTCTCACTGTTTTTGTTGTTGTTGTTGTTGTTGTTGTTGTTGTTAGGTTCCCTCAAGTCAATTCTGACTCACAGTGACACTATGTACAACAGAATGAAACACCGCCCAGGCCTGTGACATCCTCACAATTTTTACTATCCTTGAGCCCAGCTTTGCAGTCATTGGTGAATCCATCTCACTGAGACCATCCCCTGTTTCTCTGACCCTCCACTTTACCAAGCATGATTTCATTTACCAGGGACTACTCTCTTCTGACAACATGACCAAATTAGGTGAGCCGAAGTCTGGCCATTCTCACTTGGAAGGAAGATTCTGGTTGCACTGCTTTCAAGACAGATTTGTTCTTTCTTCTCACTCTTTAGGAGGCTAGAAATCTGAATTCAGGATGTTTCTCTCTCCGTCAGCTCAGGGAAAGGGCCCTTGTGTCTTTGAGCTTCTGCTCTGGATGATCTGTATGTGGCTTGACATCTTCCTTTTCCTGTCTCTGGTTGCTAGCTTGTTTGTTAAATCTCTCTTATATTTCAAAACAGACTGACTCCACACACACCGTATGCTATTTCTCTCTCATTTGTATAGTAAAGGCAAACTCATTTATAAATGGGATTATAACTGCAGACATAGAAGTTAAGATTTACAACACACAATTTTGAGTACACCATTCAATTCCTAAGAATGCTTTAGGTCAGTATATTGGTAGGGAACTACTCTTCATCTTTACCTTGAATTTATCCCCTTACTGTGCTCCATGATAAAATAATGAGCTTCTCTATTTATGAATATAATTTCAAAACTTCCTATAAACTAAGTATTGCTTTAACTAATATCAATTCTTCTTTATCCTGAATTCCCCAGGACACTTCTTCCAAAAATTTTGTTGGAGGATCATTAATAATGTAAAGTATTATGTGGTGTGACCTAGAAGAACAGAAACCATGTGCAGAAAGAGGAGCACAAAATCGTTACGGATAGATAAGGCAGTAAAGAATTCGAAACTTTGTAAGAATGAATTATAACTTTAACTTTAGAGAGGCAGGTTCCAAACTATGTCTTATCATATGAAAACATTCAATCTAAGAATTAAGAGTTGTATCAGTGAATGATACACAGGGTCTTGAAGCTACGATGCCCAGATTCAAACCTAACCCCACTGTCCATCAGAGGTGTGACATGTAACTAGTTCCTTGATATCTCTGTGCTTTATTTTCTTCATCTGTAAAACAGAAATAATGAAATAATGTGCCTTTTAAGCCTGCCTTAAAGAGTAGATAGTTTAATATTTTGTTAAACTATTAGATGTAAGAACCCAGTGCCCATGATAAGAATGGTTATATCTGTTATGATGATCAATACTCGGTTTCTAAGAGATATTTTTAATTTTTCAGAAATAATAATTCAAACTTTAAATTACTACTAACAAAGCTATATCGCTCTATTAAAGCATCAAGTTCATTTGCTGAGTGGTTGATATCATATCAGCCCTGTGGATGACTATAGTTATCTTACAATGATCCAAAGCTAGGATTGGCATTTTTAAACGTCCAATTCTTCCAGAAGTGGGTGGCTCCATCCTTCTTCCCAGTCTGTCTTGCTCTGTAATCTCTGCTGAATCCTGTCCATCATATGTGACACTCGTGGCACAGCTTTGAGCATCACAGAAAGTCACAAGCCACCACAGAATGACAACTGATAGATGAGGGGTGACAAATATCTTTACTAAATAAAAGAGAGGAAAATTAATGGAATGTATGGAATAGCATAAACACAGATGGCCCATGATGAGAGGAAAGAAGAAATAAAATAGGTTCTGGTTGTGAAAAGTTTGAGATTGAAACCAAATGAAAGAGGGAAATTGGGTGAGAAAAACGAAGTCAGAGCTGAGAAGGCACATGTCATGTCAGGAAAATAAATCAATATGAAACCACCAGCTTAGCCAGACTCAAAAGTTCTAGCAGAAAACTGGAAAAAGTCAGTTTTCCTCATAGCTGAAGGGTTTAAATCTAGGTTATAAATTTTGATATATTTTTATGGGCAAGGTAGAAAACTTGGATGCATAAAAACATAACCATACGTTCTTTTAAAATTTATTTAGCACCTAATAACGGAAATCACTGAGTTGTTTATTTATTTTAACTGGATTTAGCCTAATTGAACTTTGAGCTTTTCTATAATAAATTGCCTCTCTTCTTCAATATGCCAGAGTCTTACTGCAAACATCAGTTCTTCTATTTCCCACAGTTGGAAACTGAGGGTAAATAATTCAAGCAAATGCATGGTAAACCACCAAACCAAATCCTTGGGTTATACAGTGAACTCCAACTCATGGCAACCACATGTTACAGAGTAAAATTGCCTCACATGATTTCTCTGGCTATAATCTTCTCGGAAGGAGTTTACCAGGTCTTTCTTCCATGATGTCACCGTGTATGTGAAAACCATCAAACTTAGTGTGAGTAGACAAGGGCAAACCCTGTGTATCACCCAGAGACCTGGGTTCACTGTAGTCAAAACCAATATGATTCATAAGTGCCTTTAGGTCTGTCACTTCCTTTTTTAAAGAAGGATCGTAAGTACTCACTCTCAATTTATCTGTTTGGGAGGCAAAAAAAATATAGGCGTCTCAGAGAGGTGATTTATAGTTTTGTCTATACAACTAAGAAGTCACTTAACCTTCGTTGAGGTCATATCTAAGCCTGAGTATTTCAACTGA